GAGCAGCCGCAGCAGGAGCAGGAGCTATGACTCAGGAGCCAGCTCCGACAGCCTGCGGCGTTAGGGAGTGCCACTGCTGGCAGCTGGCACCGTGTGCCGGCGTCACCTCCAGATTTCTGGCATTCTCTGCTTCCTTCCCACCTACCTGGTCATCGATAGCAATCATCCCTGATACTGATGCGGTGGCAGCGCCGGGTCCCCCTTCCCCGGTTCGGAGTAGGAGCCCTGCAGCGCCTGGTGCAGCCCCATCGCAGAGTGGGGGGATCAGTCCCAGCTCCCCAGGCCAGGGCTGGAAGAAGGGTTGGTGCTTTACAGAGGGTCTGTCATGACAGACCTGCTCCATCCTCACTGATGCTCCTGTCTGCTCATCGCTGCCGCTCTCCAAAGCACTACCAGTTGGTCCAAAGCAAAGAATTTCACTCATTGCTCCTCTGCCAAACCAGGAACCAACAACTTAACTTCTGCTGGAGGGAGAGACCCAGTTAGGGAGGAGTTTGCTGGAAAGCTTCTGTGATGAGGGGGGTGGCCTGTTCCCACCAAGGTAAATATCAGGTCCCTTGGGTCTCTTCTGCAGAGTTCCTGCCCACTCTGCAGCAGGCCTTTTCCCTAAGAAAATATTTATTTATTGCCGCTCGGCCAGTCCTTGCTATAAATAGAAAGCTAGAAATCCCTCCTGACGTAACTCCTGGGGAAAAAAAAGGCTATTTGCTCTCTTTATCCTACCCTTTCCTACCATGTAGCAGCACCTTTTGCAGGGTTGCACTGACTTGCTTGCTAACAACCTGCTGAGGTCTGAAGCACATGTGGGGCTGGTGGGGTACAAGGCAGAGGGGAACTGGTGCCTTGCTGCACTCCAAGGGCCAGACCACAGCGTGGGAAATGGGCCACAGGGTTCCCTTCTCAGGGGAACCTTCATGCAGTTTGGGTTTAGGTTTTTCTAACGAGAGCGTTGCCCTTGGAGTGCGATGTTGTTTGGATTATATGGAGGTGCAGAGATAGCAGCTTGTGGGGTGCAATGAGGGCACACAGGGTTCAAAGGGCACTGCATACATCAGGGGACCCCAACTCCCCTTCCTCGAAACATGCAGAAATTTCAAGCAGGATTTCAGGAAATCATTTCTCCTTGAGCCCCCGGAGCTGCCCTGAGGCAGGATCAGCAGCACAGCAGTGTGGTCACAGGGCTGGTGTTAGACTGCAGCAGGATGCACTCGTGCCCCAGTTTGTCACTGGGAGGCCAGAGCAGTGCAGGGGGACAGGAAGGGCCCCCAGCTAATTGCCTGTTTTTCCAGGGAGCCGCAGGCAGCGGCAGGAGGGCCCTGCCTGCCCGGGGGGTTTTGTCTTCCTGCCAGCCCAGCTGCCTGCGCAATTACTGTGTTTTGCCGGGTAACAAAGGCTTCTCCCAGCACAGGCTGAACTGGTGCTAAGGAGTTTATTTCTCTTACAACACCTGGGTGCTTAGAGACGCTAATTTGGGCTTAAGACTTCCCTCCCTCCCTTTTTCCATCCCCTCCCCTTCCATCCTGCATGATTATTAACGAGTTTGGACTTAATGAGTCAAGGAGGTGTGTTGTGTAAGTGTTACAGAAAAGGGCTGAGCAGAGCCACCATCTGTGGTAGGAGGAGAGGGGGTAAAAAGAAATGCAAGCACCCCCTTGCCATCTAAAGAGTTAGCTACAACCCACCCAGTGCCACTGGCAGCAGGTAAAGGGGTAAAGAGGCAAGCAGAGGAATGCCAAGTGCCATGAGGTGTTATGGTGGAGCTGGATGATAGATAGCCTCAGCAAGCCTGTAAACCTGTTATCTATTGGAAAGTACAGCAGCGTGGGCTGTAATTCCACCTGGGTGGTACAAGGGGAAGTCTTATGCCAGGGGTCTCTTTCCTAAGTATCTGTCCTACCCCTGGTCCCCCTTGTCCTGTGCCTTCAACACCCAAAGCCCCCTTGTTTCCCAGCCGCTCATCCCCTGCCTTGCTCTCTGCAGGTAATGTGAGGATGAGGGTGGGTGAGGCAGAAAGCTGGGCACTGGTACAGTTGGTGGCTTGGTGGGGGATGTGTCTGTCTCCTAGGAGGTTGCTTTCCAGGATAAAATTCCTAGTAGGGCTGAGTAAAGGCTCCAGGGCTGTGGTTGAAGGATCAAAGAAGGGGTGTTCTTGCAGTGGGGTGCCACTGACTTTCCTCCTATGCTGGCCCTGACAGTGGCCCCTTAGCCATCTTCTGCAGTGAACTCCCTCTCAAAAGGGCTGAAAACCTCATGCTTCTTCCCCAAAGAGTCTCTCCCAGTGTGATGCTGAAACACCCTATCCTCCTGCTCCCCAGAAGACCCGGAGGCAGTGATGGGAGCCAGACCCTCTTGCTCTACCAGCATTTCAGAGCAGCCTCCTGCCCCTTAGCACCCTGTAACACACACGTGCAGCTGTAGCAAGGAAGTAGAGAGCCAGAAGATCTAAAACTAAGACAGAAAAGAAGAGGGGCTTTGAACAACTGGTGTAAATACCAAACACACACTGACTGCAGTCCTCACGGCTGGGGATGGACAATGGGAGCACTGCAGCAGGGTCAGCAGCACCTGCACACCATGGGACAGGAGATGACCCCAAGGGCTGCGCGGGGCTGACGGCAGCTCTCGCACCCATCCGGCTGATCCGTGCTCCAAGGACTGCCTCTGCCTGTACAGTCTGTGGCAGCTAAATGCTCCTGGAGTTTCCCAAGCAGACTTGTGTTG